TACTCACCTAAACAGAACGTGGAAGGTGTAGATCATTGGAAGCAGCCTGCATCTATGCACATGCCAGAATGGAGGTGAGTCCTGTCTCCAGCCTGGCACTATGATCCAAGATACACAGAAGACCTTTTTCCTCTTCAGTGCTGTAAGTCCTATAGAAAAGGAACAGCCCCAAGAAATTTGAAGCATCATATACCATGCAATGTTCTACTATAACTGTCCCTACACCACTCGGTGCCCACAAACATGGGCAGAATAGGGAAATGCAAAAGGCCAAATTCACATATGCAGTAAAGATCCTTCTGCAGTCTGCAGGAGGGGGCTACCAGGTCTTGGATAAGTCAAATCTTATCTCATAGCGGTCCTCTCTGAGGAATAACATGCAATAATCCATGAATACTTTTATTTTCAATCTTTAGCTGGTACTTTGTGAGGCTGAACAAAGACACAGACGTGTTCAGGATTCTACCAAGGGTGCATCTGTCTCCGGATGAAAGCATCCTGACATCAAACCGTCTGCAGCTGGGCTGGAAAAAGTTTTAAATCACTGCGATAAACACAAGTTTTGCACCAAAGTACAAATACACATACCATGATTTCCTCTGGGTGACAGGCAAATCCTGTTATTCTACTTATGAATGGGCCTCATTAAGCAGGAAAAAAAATTGTTGGTGCAACCTGTTCCTTTTTAAATTAAACATATTACAGTTGATAGATACCCCTAATTCTCTGCTCAGCCTCCTATGCATTGCAATAACACCGCTCCCATTGTTAGAGAAGTCTTGAGTTTGCATAATCTGCTTTTCATTTCCCTGGCAGCTACAGATCATTCTCGGTGACTAAATTAAAAACAGTTTCTTTCAAGAAGCCACTGGATCTGTCCTCCTTTTTCCTCCCTGTACCTACAAGTTAGGAAGAAAATAAGGAAACAAAACCTTACCAACAAGCATTAAATCCTATCAGATCAGGCTGGAAGGTCACCTCATCTATCCCTCTGCCCTGAGGCAAAAATCAACTCTTCTTAAGCCATCCCTGACAGATGCTCATCTAACTCTAAAAAACACCCACTGATGATTTCACAGCTCATTCCTTGGCTTACCTCATGGCTACAAGTCTGACCTAAATGTCCCTTACCACAGTCAAAGCTCCTCACTGCTTGTCCTGTCCACACGGGACTTGAGGAAGACTATTTCTCCTTGAAGAAGAGTATTTCTTCTCTCTTTGAAGCAGCCCTTTACATGCTTTCCCATGCTTTTCACTCTTGTTTCTTACGAACATACCTGTCCACAACTTTTCCGAAACACAGCCCCACTTCAGAGCCCAGCACTCCCGAACAGACAAGTCCAACCGCTCCTCAGCCCCTTTCTGCTCCTGCATTTATTCCTGTTGTGTAGAAGCAAGCCGAGAATGCAGGAAGTCGAGGTCTTAGCCTCCCAGGACAGCAAGGGACAGGTAGGGAAAAGGCATTGAGAGGACTCTAGGACAGCTTTTAGGCTGTGTACACCAGCTCCACCCAGTTGCTGCTGCCTGATTGTAGCATGGTGTTACGCTGGTGCTGGCAGATGGGCTGACCAGAGCACACCCAGTTCCCAAGCAGGCTGCTGGATGCTCACACAACACATCCAGCTCCAGACCAGCTGGCCCAACCATGCAAACCTAGCAAAACCCAGCAGTGTGGGCTCTGCCAGGTTTGAGGATGACACTATAAGTAGTGAGGAAGCACAGGGAGTGAGGTATGTGGGTGGAAAAGTGGGGAAAAACCCAGGAAGTTTAGTAGAGGAAGGAGAAAGAATCTGAGATGATAAAATGTGCAATGACCTGCTTTCCCCCTCCTTGCCCCTTGCTAGAGCCGACCTTGCTGTCAAAAGAAACTCCAATTTTCTGAAAGGCAGCGAAAAGAAAACCAAGCCATGAAATCTTGCAATCAGTTCAGAGGCTTCCAGCAGCATCTAGTACTAGCATTTTACACGTCAGGTAATAAAGCACTGAGCCTGGGAGGTTTTTGGATTTCTGCAACTAACAGCTTTTATTATAGGATGTGGTTTTGCCAGCCTTGTGCACACAGACTTCCCGGCTCTTCCAGTCCAGCGAGGCTGCTCAGACCTGTGTTTCAGGATGCTCCTAGCACACTCAGCTAGTGCTGCGCTCAGCTCTCAGCACAAGGGAACCATCCGGGTCAACCTGACACGTAATAACCAGAGGTTATCGTAGGTGCCCTGGCCTGAAAATCCCCAGGGTCACCAGGAAGGCTCACCTTGGAGGGCAAGGCAAGGGGCACAGCACTGCTCTCGCCTGGGGAAGCAGACTCTGCTGCGAAGGGACAGCCCCGCTGGGGATCTCATCTGGCGACGGATTCGCACGGCGTGCTGCTCCAACCACAGCGATTTTCCATGATACCAGCTGCTTTGCCGAAGGTAGGGAAGAACGGGCCTGACCAATAGGACAGTAAATCCACGTTAAGGACATTACTCCAGAACTCCCAGCTGTTAGACTTTCACTGGGAGAACTTAAAGGTATCTTGTTGAAGATGCAACAACGGCAGCATTAACAGTTTCCTCCTGTTTTGCCTTCTAAGTGCCCAATCCTGCAGAGCTTTATCAATACAGGCTGAAATTTCAAGATTTAAAGGCTAACTAAATCCCACTTAAAACTTTCACAAAGGGGATTAACTGGAACTTACCCAGAGCTTACACTGCCGTTTGCTTTCTGCGGGAGAGGCAATTCTCATGCATGTGCCTTTTGGGTCTAAGCTATCAAAGGCTGGCTGGAGCAGAGCTTGTGTCCACCCGCTGCGGTGGGGGCAGCCGTCAGGTAGGCAGCTGCTGCAGCCAGCAAACCGCACTCTTGTCAGGTTGCGACTCTGCATGCTTGAGCAAAGACAAAAGCATCCCTTCTAGGCATGGCGTTCACTTGCGATTGACAACAGCTAAAATCACAGGAAATGGAACTAAAATGCCTTTCCAAGGGAGCCCCAAACTAACTTTACCGATGGCCATACACAGAGAAGCGACCCACGTAAATAAAACCGAACCAGACCACAACGCCACACCAAGCAAGCCGAACGCAGAAAGAGAGCCGCTGGTTAGAGAGAGCAACCAGGGCCCTGGCACAGCGAAACGCCGAACGCTCAAAGATACAAACCTGGCGCTTAAGAAATTATACTGTTCCATTCTGTACAGGGCTTAAGAGGAACAGACGTGTATGTCCTGTCATTAGCCTATGTACAGGAAAAGATATAGAGAGAGGCAAAAAGATCTACTTTTTAGATAAAAAACACATAAAAAAAGAGAATACCAATATTACCCAATTGAAACTAAATTGCTATGCAGTTGATTTCACCCACCTGTAACAAAATGCTGCATGGAAGAACGCAATACAATTGACAAATCAAACTATTTTCTATTTTATAGAAACAACAAAGTCATTGAACGGGTTCATTTTTACATTTATTTGACAAAACGGTGTACACAGTGTTAATCTTTGCAGAATTATAATCAGGTACACCCACAACGAATGGACTGAGACCAGAAGTTAGACGCACAGTGTGTGACAGCATTGCATAAACAGTTCTTCCACAGAATGCTTCTATTTCCAGTATTAAAATATATAAAATAGAGTGTGACTGTTTTATTTATTGTGGTGAGGTAAACATTTCTTCCTTCGAAGCAGTGTGCTTCTATGCACCTTCACGAGAACTGCTAACGACACCCTTCTCCTTCATTCAGTCAGTAAGTACACACCTAGTGGCATATTTATTGCTGCTCTAATGGTCATACATTTTTTCCTTCAGCAATATGCAGAGAAAGGAACGGAAAAGAAAAAACCTACAGTAATTGATGACAGCAACCTATCTATACTATTTGTGTCAAGAGCTAGAGATTAGTGCAGATCATTTATTTTGAATGTAACAGTTTTAATGGAAATGTCAAGAAAAAATTATTTACATTTTTCTAAGTGGAACACGGTATTGATTAGAGCCGCTCAAAAATCACAATTAAGAATTTATTAGACAAATTTTTACCTCTCTGCCCATTTACAAGATCAGATCATAATATCCACTCGTTTGCTCACTGTTCAAATTTATTGATGATTTTCAGCGTGTAATTCCTGGGCTGAGTGAGATTTGTACTGGGTTCTTGAGTTACACAAGACATTCGGTATTGTCTTTGGTTCCCTGAATGAATGGTTTGTGTAATTAACAGCCTGAATTTTCACTGTTACAAAAGGATATATAATCAAAATAAATTTCGGTCAATACCTGAGTACTGAAACCTACTTTTTTTTTTTTTTTCCTTGTACATATTTTTACTGATGCCTGAGAAATCAAATACTTCAAAAATGGAAAAGTTCATTTGTGTTTTATTCCCAATAAATCAGGAATGGTTTTTGGAAGTTAAATCAATTGAAGAATACTCCATGCTCCTGACAGAAAACTGCTTCAGGTTCTCATCTTATTTTAAAACCTCACAGCAGTGACATTCTTGTTTTATTTTAAAAGAGGTTACCTTAAAAAGTTAGCAGCCATTTTCTTACTGGCAGACACATCCTGCTAGAGCTCTCTGTATGGCACTGTTACACCCAGAAATACCGCACCTCATTTCAAAACCTAGAAATTAAAATAAATCACATTTTGCCAGCTTACAGACACAGTATAAGACTGGAAGGTCCTTTCACTAACAACTATTCAATCCCTTTTCCTACTGTGAGGTATACTTTGGCATCTACCAAAAAAAAAATCATTTTAAGGCTCTACAAAAAAAAAATCATCTTAAGGCAAAACGTGTGATTTCTAAAAAAGAAAATAAACATTATTCATTCGAATAAAAATAGATATTGTAAGCACAATTTTTTACATTATTGTAAAAGTCCATAAAAAATACAAACCCATGATTAGTTTGCTGACTCTCTACAATATAAAAAAATTAATGAAAACATAGTGAAATAGGTGAACTACATGTGTTCAATCAAAGAACAATCCTGTTGAGAGAAGTCAATTATTAATCATTGTATCTTATCATGAGTTTATCAGTGACAATGTTGGAAGGAAAGCAGAAAAAGAGCTTTATGAAGGGAAGTATTACTTATTACAAGTCTGAGTAACAAAATTACCAAAATTAGATGAAGACACACAAACTTTTCAAGAACGCAGCTGCAAAATTTCTGAAGCCTGACTTGCAAGCCTATGGCCCGAGTTTGCCAGGTATCTGTGATCACAAATTAAGTCCACCCACACTGATGACTGCTTAGAAAAACTCCACTAATCCTCTCTGATATAACCACAGGAATGACGTCTTGTGAAACACACGCACTTTCCATGAGAATAACCTTCAAGTTGTTATTTTTTGGCCACACTAGCCACTGCCTTCTTTGCTGCATCCTCAAGGTCATTTGCAGACGTGATGGGGAGCCCACTTTCATTCAGAATACGCTGGGCTTCATGAACATTTGTTCCTAAAAAGAACATTGACTATAATTAGTAATTAATATTAATGAATAAATGAGCATCTTCTATTAAATCTCTACAAAAGTAGTTAATGCTTCAAACGACACCATTTCAGTTTAATGACAGATTCAACGAGTGGTTTAGACTGAGCTGAGAAGGAGGAACTCTTCATTTCAATGACAATTTTGACGGACAGATAATAGCACTCCTATCCAAAAGAGGGGCTTAGTGAAGATTAGAGGGTCAATCCAACATCCACCAGAGTCAGTAGGGACATCCGGCAAGAGCACTGGATAATGGACCACGTAGCAGGCCTTTACGACACTCAGAAGATTTAACACATTTATTACCAACAGTCAGCTACAGCTAATCAGCAGGCAGTGAATCAACAATAACTAAAATTCACCCATGTTAACTGAAAGCTGCAAAATGGGCTATTGAAAGACAAAGATTTGGGTAATCCTGGAAACGTAACTGGTTTTGAGCTGCTCTTGACTATGCTTTTTTGCATTGCTGCTAAAAAGGAAGAACGTAGAGCTCTCTGAAGTGTTCAGCAGGACACGGTTCCCTCCTCTGCTGCTGCACTAAATTATCCCACATTGAAGGAGACTGTACAGCTATACTGTACAAGTGCCCCATTTTGCATGTAAAAGCTCTAATTTAGTCAACAAACCACATGCACAGTAAAGGAAAAAAAACCCCAAACTAAACCAGCTATTTCAGGAAAGTACGTTTTCCCCACTGTTTACACTTGTCTAACAAGTGCATCGCCTGCCCATTTACTCAGGCTCATTCTTTTTTGGAAAACAAAGACAAACAGAAAATCTGAATTCTCCAGAGCTGTCTCTCCAGCAAAGCCAAGTGACAGTTTTGATCACTGATCTGCACAACAGAAGAACATGGAGTCTGATATCCTGCTGAGGAAGTGGAATCCACATTTTGGGATCACTCACTAGTCACAGGCACAGGACCCTGAGCTGATCGTCTTTAGGAACATTTCTACCCACCCCCTCCTCCACATCAAGTTCCTTGTTCATTTGCCATGTCAAAATGCTTAATTACTTTGTAATTCCTAGACCTAGCAAAATGAATTTTAATTATATTTGGAGCTATACACTAATTATACCCTTAATTATTAACCGAGCAAGGAGCACACTCTTTACTGTGCAACTTCCAGAATGCTCATTTTTAAGGGTGATGCTGATTTGTTTGGCAGACTTCATAAAACGTCTGAAATTGTACAGCAGAAGCAAAGAAATTCAAAAGTCCGTTTCATCAGCGTGCTCAAGTCAGGGCTCCCACTCCCGGCACTGAAAGAGACCAAAGACATCTCTGTCACAGCAGGCCCCAGCACTCTGCGACAGGAGAGGCAGGTGTCTGGAAGAGGGATGCGGGACCCCATCTGCTCGCGGTTTAAAAGCACCGGCAGAAGAGGTCACGGTTCCCATCGACATGGAGAGGACACACCGTGGGACTTGTGTAGGAAGGTCAAAGACACCTGAAATCTCTGACAGAAGGGGGATTTGGTTGCATAGTAACATCCAGAACTGCACAGGACTTTTCCTACAGAAAAAAAAAAAAATATTATGGGCAAAAAAGAGCATAACATTTGATTATTTTTTTTTTCCAACCATCCTATATATCGTAATGTGGAAGCTGCTATTGCCAGTACAGAACTGCACAGGGAAGTCAGGCAGCATTATGAAGGTTCTCTTCTCTGTCAAGTTCCTCACATTTGCATAGTGAATCCCATAAAGTCTTGAAGGTTTTATCTATTATTTAGATACAAGTATGATAAACATTTAAAAAGGTCAAGATTGTACTGATCTCTCAAACAGGATTCTACAAGACAAAATGTTGTGAGAAGAGAAAAATGGGAAGGGGGAAATTTTCCTGCAGAGAAAAATACTATGCTGTTTGTGATCGCCACATATTTAAAACTAACTTTTGCTCTTCACTAAGTGGCTAATATTAATTTATTAACAGGTCAGAGTGGGAACAATACACCAGTTCTATTCTCAACTGCAGTGATTGTTCTATATACCACTTGTCTAACACGCATTACAAAATCAATACAAAACAGACCAGTAAGAAGGGAGGGGGAGTTTATGCAGTCAAATGAAAATATGAAAGCTGAAAAAAATCTCACCGCAGCCAGAAGAGTAAGGGTACACTTTGTATTTATTAAATAAAATACTGTTTTATAGGCGGGCCATATAACCAAACATATTTTCAGCAAGCATTTCCTTTGCTGTAATTTCCTTTATTTGAATGATAGGTTTTTATCCCATTGTGATGAGTATTTTAAATATACAGAGAACACGGACATTATAGTGAGATCCTAAAAAAAAAAGGTAAGAGCTTTAAAATTAATCAGTCAGAAAACACTGGAAACATTTAAGAATTTACAAAGGGTAAAATCTTATTGCGGTAGACGTGAAAATAAACAAATAAATAATCCCACTATTCTAACATTAACCTTCTGCCACTGGATGGTGTCAGAGAACTGTAAACAGATCCCACACACAGGCTATTGAAGTAACCCGCCCTTCACCTACACTGTAGCCAACGATGAAAATTCACTGGACTGAAGGCTATAGATAGGGCTTTTGTTGTTGCTGGGGTTATTTTGTTGGTGGATTTTTTATTTCTTTTTTTTTTTTTTAGACTGGACTCCATTAAGGGAATGGCTTTCTAATGAGAAGAAGAAGTTTGTTCCTTGTGACACATATTACTGTCAATGACACTACATAAAAATACAGGAAAGATGTAATTTTATCAGCGTATACCTTCAGGCTTTTTAATCTAAATATCCTCCTTCTGAAACCTGGGTTCTGAAACAATTTCTCTGTCTGTGTATATGCAATCTCTCACATTTACACTTCCCTTGCCTTGAAAGCTCTGCTCTCACTACCAAAGCAAATCTATTCAACTCACTACTTAAAAATCCTAGTAGTAAATATTCTATCTAAGTATGTTTCTATAAAGTGTAAGATTATGCTAGCACACATGGTTACAAATGAGTCAAGAGGACTGCATGCGTTGAATGAAAACAAACAAATAAAACACCCCCAATCATGCTCCAACAGGATTTTGACAATGTTCATTTATTCACTTGCACTGTCATAAACCCACTAGGAACAGGCTAAATTTAAACAGGCCACTGTTTAATGCTGATGGTTGGAGACAAAGCATGATTCTGCAATGCCACGTCTAGCTTTTCAGGTAAATAAGATATAAGGGGCGAAGACACAGCTATATACATTTGGTATGTCCTAACAACTAGAAGACTAACATAAAAAATAATCTGATCTACCCAAAACATTCTGCTCTGACAGAATATTTCACAACAAGCCGTATGTCTGAAAATTATTATTGATGTGAACACATTGTGACCATGTTACATTATCAATAGCAGCATTTCAGCTTTGATATGCTACAGCGATGAGCATGTTAAGAGCCAAATCTCCCCCACTACCCCGGCATAACCCAGGTTATGCCATTTCTGCTAGCCCACAAGCTGGAAACTCGCAGCCTCTCTGGTCTCAAAGATAGAGGTATTGGAGAATAAGGGACAAGGTTGGAAGTTCATCGCTAGCTAACCTTCAGTCAACAACATCTGGTTTGAGGCTAGTGATAAGCGTTGATGAACGATCTTTAGCCAGGAAACTTATGAAGTTTCGGTGGCTTATGCACCTTGTAGTGGTTGGCTCTGCAGTCAAGAATAAATCAACTTTCACTGCCTACCTGTAAGAGACAATCAAACTCCTTCTATTCTGTCCACTCCATTTGCCCTTTTCTACCTTAAACTTTTCCCAAAGAATACGTTAATCTTTTCCTCCGCCTCATGTTTACATCCCAACTGGGAAAGATGTGTGATGAATGTTTAAACCCAGGATGTCTGAAGAGGTTGACATGAACAAAGTTCTAAGCGTGACTTTGCAATACCCCATTCTTCTCTCTTGGTAGGCAACTTGGGATACTAAAAAATCACAGACGAACCTACCTACTAAACCATATTTGTGAGCAAGATATACAAGCTGGAGCACAATTTCACTTGTGTGTACATGATTTCCAAATACATTTAAAAAATCATTAGATTGTAAAGAACACAGAAGGTCATGAATCACATGGCTGAAAAATACAATAGGAAATTTTGGATTCAGACATTTCAATAGAAGTCAACTTGCTTCTAGCTGCATTTCAAGATACTAAGTAGTTCTAATGCCTCCAAAATCTTTCCTATGACCAGAGCAGCAGAGAATTAATTGGTTGAATGAGAGAAAATGTAAGATTTCCAGTGTAGGAAGAGGACATCTAATTCACAATTCTTTTTTGTTCTTTCCTCTTTTCATCTAACTCTAAGCTACATAAATGAGAAACAAGGTTTGGCTTCCACTCGGCGCTCCTAGTTAGTTTCCACAAAACTTAACTGAAGTACATTACATTTCAAAGGGGAAAAATTCCTGCATAAAACCATAAGAAGTTAGTTTTCCACATCTGTAAAAGATAAAATTTGGAATATGTGGTTTCTCCATTTGTCCATGAGCCTTTTAAACAACAATAATCCTGCGTCTCAGCTGGTGAGTTCTTTACTGATAAAGCAAGTAAATACATGCAATTATAAAGCTACCATTTTCAAAGAGGAGAGTAATCCTTTCCTTATCCACTGGTAAAACAGCTTGTAATTATTATACAACTGAGAACAAAGATTTGTCCACAGAATCCTGCTAAATCAAGACAGATTTGACTGATTAAAACTCTAGTCATCAAGACGTGTAATACAGTGCATGCGGGCAAAGAGTCTTTAAAGTGCAGGTCACAAATCTGTTAGATTGATGGGAATAATCATGAACCTTCTGTTGGAAAAATGTTTAAAATGGAAATCCAAAAAAGTGCTTGTCCCTTTTCCTCCTTTTGAAGTGTAAAATGTTATCAGTGATGTTTTAAGAAGTCTTGGGTAGTAATAACTTCCACAGTAGTCATTATTAATTCAAAATGCTTACAGGTTTAGATAACCCGGGGTGAGGTCAAAGAAGAACAACGAAGATGATTAAAGATCCAGAGGAATTGATTTCTGAGGAAAGATTAAAAGAATGAAATATATATATATATATATTGCTTGGTTGGGTGATTAAGGAGGCAGCAAAAGCAGGAGCTCCAAGCTAAGAGTTTCTAAGTACAGCACCTGAAGGCTGTAAGCATCATAGCTCTTTGTTTAGGATGAACTGATGAGAAACACTAGGAATGAGAGAAGGAATTAAAAGACTTTTGAGATAAATATTACGCAAAACTGGGAGTTTGCTGTATTATCCTGGGACGGAGTTTCCCAAAGAAAATGCGGTATCGCCACCTCTGGAGTCAGTGACTAGTCTAGGAGCAGCATTATTACAAACCTAGTACAGAGAGAGCGAGCGCAGGAAGATGGTCAACAAAAGATGTTTGCATTAAAACCTGTTTTTTGACCCTCTGAAGATGCAGCTTAGCTCTCTGTGGATGAAGCAACACCTGACTCAGAAAGGCTGCAGGCACAAGAGGAACAGGCACCATGCAGTCACCTCTGCAGGGCCAGGGCTTTCTGCAATCCCCTGGCAGAAGCACTTCTGTTCCACACCTTCTCTTCCAGACAAACTCCGCAGTGCAGTAGCACCGGGACTCTCCTCATTCAGCCCAGGGACTGTTTTGCCTCTTGCAATCTCCCAGAAGTCATGTTAAAAAAAAAATTCACCCTTACCCGCGTACGATCACGGAAGTATCAAAAGTACTCAAGAAAGGTCAAGAAAACCCAGTGGCAGCCCTAGCAGACTGCACTTTAAAATGAGCAAGTTGATTTTCTTGTTTTTCTTATAGCGGTTTCAAATATTGCAATAGAAACAACTTGCAACTATCTTGTTCGTAAGGAAAACTAATGGCTTTTCCAATATCTTCACTTAAAAAATAATGGCTACAATAGATGAGAAGTCTTGTAGATCTGACAGATAAACTTTTTCCCAGCTATGAGAGACAGGAAAAGTTTTTTGCTATGACAAAAAGCTAAACAACATTGCCTGGAGCTGATAAACAATGAGATTTTGTATTATGAAACTTTCCTGCTCCTAACCAACAGCCATCAGTCCCTCCTTCATCCCTATTAAATTATACTTATGCTCTTAAGGTGTTTAGTGGTGCTGCATCATCCAAAGAAAATCTTCAAAATTTGTTTCTAAAATCTGTTTTAGAGTATTTAAATTTTCCTGCACTTACCACAGCAAGTCTACCCATGTTAAATGAAGAATTCACTCTGGAAAGCATTCGAACCCTGCAGTGAAATGCGCAGCAGAACTTTTACAGGACAAAATTGCACGTCACAGGCTGTGCTCTCCCCTGACGTGAGCTACGTGTCATGTGTAATGTAGCATGAGAACGAGGGATGGGAGAAACATACTTTCTCTTGAAAGGCAAAACAAGTACCCCTCAACCCATTATCTGCACCTTCATGAGCCCTGGTGACCTTATTTTTTGAAAAGGAAGAAGTCTGCTGTATTCAGAACTTTTTTCCTCCCCTGCTACCACCATGTTAAACACCTTACTGTTTTGTACCCCAGGTACGTAAAGCGATGCACCTCCTCTTTTCACCACCAATGCTGAGTGACAGGACATTCTGTGCTCTCTACATGCACCCAAACATGAAAACTGATATTTTTGAGGACCAGGTCTTAAAAAACCCCCAAACAATAAACAAACAGAAAAACCTCGATTTTCCAAACATACTTAACAAAAAAGAAATGTTTTCAGTTTACCAGAGTTGTGCTGATTTCAATCAAAGTACTTTTTAATTCAATGGCAGAAGCAGCATCTCTGTTCCTTCTTCAGAGTACTCCTCAGAAATGAGAGACAGAACTCTACACCCACTGCCACGGGTACATTAAAGCCAGCGACTGCCAAGGAGCGCTCTTCCTCACCTCTATTACCTTTTTGTTTTCAATTAACAATGCTGGATGTACTAAAAAAAAAAATTTAAACGCCTTACCATGACCAAATCTTCTGGGTTTTAATGGATTTTAGCTGGATTAGATATTTGGGCAGAAGACCATGTTAATCTCTCACAAATACTGTTTCTAACATCTTTCTTATAATTATATTAGTGGAGTAAATTTAAGAAAAACTATATGTTGCTGCAGGTTTAGCAATAATGGAATTACAGTCACTAAAAAAATCATTTGAAAAATAAATCCTTTCCAGTAAACAGAAACTTGCATTGAAATAATTTCTATTTGCATTGCAAATCTTACAAGCAAAACCATAATGCTTTCATTGCAAAATTTCATTGCTTCAAGTACCACCAGGGATGAGGAATACAGAAATATGCAAGGAAAGAGTTTATTGACTTCAGGTCATGCTATGGATGAAGAATTGGACATATTCTTATTGTGTGGGACTAATCTGTTTAGAGCTCAGAGATCGAAGAAACCCAAAGTGGATTACTGTGCACCTGAGGGAAGATTTTTGTCTGAAACCATTAGCACTCACCTTCCAACCTCACCACCAGAGGTACTTTCAGCTCAAGCTCTCGGCAGGCTTTGGTGATACCGTTGGCTATAATGGCACAGTTCACGATCCCACCAAATATGTTTACAAGTATTGCTTCAACCTGTAGGAAAGATACAGAGTAGAAATTAGCTGGGGGTTTGGTTTGTGTTTTGTTTTGGCTTTGTTTTTTAAATAAACACAGGTAAAAGATCTAAACCACAGTACAAATTCCCCTTTGTCAGGCAGGGTCTCATTTATGGAAGGCAAAAGTGTCACCTCTGTACTCAAGAGAACTTGATTCTATTGCTTCTGTAGTGTGTAGCAGTGATTAATTGCCTTAGTCTAAATAGGTATAGTAATTAACGTCATAAACACATTATTACACAGAAAACAGGAATTTCTGCTGATAAATATAAATAGAAAGATGAAACAATCTATATTTTGGATTTTTTTAATGTATTGAATAATCATCAGAGGATGCAACTCAGAAAACACAGTGTATGAGTATGTGGATGCACATGCAATGAAATATTCATGTGGACACTTCACAAAACAATCTGGATATGCACTTTATCATAAGCAGTACAGAGGGAAAGGTAATACACTGACTTGACAAAGAGGAGCAAAAATCCCTTCTAATTAACAAGGAGAGGCATGTAATGAAGAGCATTCATTACAACAGATTAGCTGATAACCTCAAAAAACTGCTATTCATCAGTTTCTGGAAACTGAAATTCCTGCACCCAATTCACAATTAAATTACCCTTCACAACATACGAGAAGACATTAATGCATAGAAGATATTAATATGGTTTCTTTCCACTTGGTAAGGCAGTATAATAATGAACCCAAGTTCATATGCCAGGCTTCCTGCCATGGATTATTAAGTCGAGGGGGACACCATACAGATGCAGCTATGCTGTTTTCTCATTCCACAGTGGGGCTAATCCACAACATTCAGGGTGCTCTACAACAAGCTTCACTGGGTGTCACAAAGGAGGTTTGCCAGAATCATGTTGACTCCAAAGACACAAGATAAAGAGGGGATTAGTTTTGAAGGAATGAAATATCACTGGCTTTCACTTGTGCATGATGTCAACCGCAATTATGCTTAACTCAGTGCACAAGACGAACAGATTCACTTTGCCCACCTCCAGGTAGCCAGACTCATACCAGCACCAAGAAAATTCCCTGCAGTCACGCACATTTATAGCTCTGCACAATCAGGTTTAATATTTCTCTGCGGACAAAACGTGACAATTAACTCCTGTGATGTGCAGTCACACAGATTGAAAGCTCACCACTGTCAGTAATACTGCCAGCCACAATGCAACAATAAACAAGGAGGAAAAAAAAATAAATCTCAACAAATACTTTTCTTCCCACAAGAAATCACCTCACTCCTTAAGCAGTACCCTAGACTGCAGGAAACATCACTAGAAGCACATGCTGTGTTTACACTGCACTATCAAATTCCAATGCGAGCACAACAGTCGTAAAATGAAGATGGCAATGGGACCACCTCACTGACACCTTTCTCATCACCTGCTGCTCCTTCCAGCCCCAAGACTTTTCACGATGCCACTAAAAGTGGGCAGAACAGTTCCCATATGATCATATGGGCCACAGCCCCATTTTCTCCTCTCAAGCTTATTAGACACCCACTCTTCCATCTAGTTTTCCAGTGTGGATGTGCTAGGATGCTGCTGCCCCTGCTACTTGTCTCCTCCTACTATTTGCAGTGGAGTTGTCCAATTAAGCTTTGCTCACTCTTCTGGGCGCCCTGATACTATAAACAGAATTGTCGTGCGCCTTTGCAAAGCAACAAACACCTCTAATGCTATGTAAGTAAAGCAATAATTAACAACAAACTTCCTTAAAACCCCGACATCCAAATTTCTCCCACTGAAATTAGGTACGATGATTCAGTACACATGGCACCACCTGCTTCAGTTCATAAAGCCTGCACAGCAACAGCCTGCATATGGCTCATGACATGGCTTCCTCATCGCAGGCAGAGCACACTAGATATCAGAAGGAAACTAATAACCCAGTCACATCAGAACATACAATTCAATTGATTTTATAACTCTTTCTTACAGTTTAGACACGGGCCAATGCATGCACTTACCAGTCTAGGGCTTTCTGGATATTAACTTGGTGATGCCATTTCAATTGTTTATTTCACCTTTGTGTTGTTACAAAATCCTTAACTCTGTAGAAGCTACCAACAGTGAAACCTTAGAAGGTCCCTTCTCCACCTTCCTCCTACTGCTTGTGCACATGCAAACATTCTTGGTGTTAGGAGGCAAAAACAGGTAAAGGAAAAAATGAGCCCTTCAAACTCTTATTACATTAACCCTTATGGTAGAGAGATATCTGTGCAAAGCACCTTGATGTTAAAACACACTAGCGATGGATTCTAACAGCGGGACAAGCCACAGACACTGTTCCACCCTTTCTAACACATGCTCCTAATTCAAAGATCGCAACTAGGCATGTGACAGATCAACTTAACCAAGTGTGTTTACATTATTAGAGATAAGGAGGAGGATTTTATGCCCAGTACAGAGATTTTAATTCCTAATGCAGACACTCTCTTTTAAGGATCTGCTTTTCAGCTTTCAAGCTGAATTCTAATCAGGCCTTCTAATCCATTGGCAGCAAAAGGAAAAAAAAAAAAGTTGAAGGAAATTAGATGCAGCTTGGATAATTGATGTTTGTATGCTTGGCTTTAATAAAAATACACTGTTAAATCAGAGAGGAGTCTAAAAGGATTCAATCAATAAGAAACTGAATCAGGAAGAGAATTCAATCTTGGGTTTTATTGTAATCTTCCAAATCAGACAAAAGATCAGTCCAAATGATGCTGAGATTCACTTTAACTCTGCTGAATGTTGTGAACATTGTTTATATATGCTTCTGTAGCCTGACTAGATCTCGCGTTTCCACCTGAAAGAACTTTAGCATTCAGACCCAGTACATGGATGAAAAGGTTTTCAGTATTTCATGTGCACAGAGAATGCACAATTTCTGTATTAAGTCTATAAGAAAAATAAACCTCCCATTGTATAGCAGAACCATTACATACTAACATGCTCAGTATCTAATGCATATGGACTATTAGACAAATAAAAGAGAGGGCAAACTGTCCACATACAAGACAGGTTACTTGATAGCATTATTATTCTAATAACCACTTTTACCCACAGCATGACTTATAAAATTATTTTGTATTTTACCAACATTATTAAGGAAACTCAAGATAGCAGTATATCCACAGGCTAGGTTCTTTCCATCCATCAAAACAACCGATAGATGTGAAATCATCATCAAATGGACTCACAACTGATCACGGACTCCTCCACAATCGCACGAAGACATCACCATCAATGGTGGTAAACAGTGGTGGTGCAGTCTGCCAGGTCTGAGCACCAATGCTGGGCAGCAAAAGTGACGGAAACTAAGGAGCTAGATAAGGTACTGAATCTTTGCAAATACTGGAATACCTATTAACCCCATGCTCCTAAATAGTATATGAACTTTTCTCTCTTTATATAAAAATTAGATATATTTATGTATAGCTGTATCTATATAAAATCTATGTTGCTTTATTAAAAAAACTAATATTTTTAATTTACAGTGACTTTTTGTCAAAGTGAGCCTTGACAAAGCCTGCAATTCTGCTCTGAATGTCTGGCACCAAAACACCCCCACCCTAAAGAAGTGTAATTGTGTACTAACTGAAGCAAGGGTGCTAGGAGATAACTGTTAGAATTGTATTGGATCACCAACATAATCCACAGGGCTGCCAGGTTCCACGCAACTAAGGGCATTTTACGTGCAGCAGAAGCAGCTTTAGCATATCTGCCTGCACTCCAAAACCCAGATACAGTGTGTGTGCATTCTCCTTTTTTTTTTTTTCCTCTAAAATGTTGTTAGCCTTAACAAAATGCACACTGACATCTGACCATCACACACTTGAGGATTAATACAGGCAGCACCTATAAAGCATTCCACCTTTCCTACAGCCCATTTATAAATCTATACACAGGATGTCTCGCTGTCTGCAGCCGCTGCACTCCAGTCTGCTGACCTTCAGAGTCCGCACTAACACCACAAATTCCGTACACAAAAAGAGAGAGGACAAAACCTTGGCACTTGCAAGTTGTTCTTTCTCTTTCATTTTCCACCTTCACTATTACCGCAGAACAATTACAACAGGATTAGGATAACAAGGCACTGTAGCACGGAACGATGGCAGACACGTCGTATAAGGTCTGAGTCTCACATAAAAACAGAAATCCAAACACAAATGCAAATTAACTTGGGCTGAGGTTTCATCATCATTTCAAGATGATCTAAGCATGGGCAGCCACCAAAGAAGCTGTCTTGCTTTCCCCTTCCCTCCCTCCCCCCGCACATAAATGCCCCTCTCCTGGGCTCCTATCAGCAGCTGAGCCACGCGGATGCCAAAACAGCTCCTGAAGCGAGGCAGAACCCCCAACGTGCTGTTAGGGCCCAGGGTAAGGTGGGAATGGGTAAGCCAATTGTGAAACCACTTTCTTAGCTATTGCCTTTCAGGATCAGAATGAATATTAGGTACAAAAATGTGAGGCCAGAAATACAACTAGGGCACTGTCCAATAAAAACCAAACCCCAAATCACCAAGACCATGACTGTACAGCACACATCTCTTCTGAATACTCCTAAACGGACACTGGAACAGAAGTGTGGGGGGTTTTTTAATCATGTGTTTTAAAATACGAGTTTTAACGAAATATTTCAGGATGGCTGACGTAAAGATAGCTCAAAAACATAATTATTCCAACATACAGATCCCTTTAATCAAAGTTTCTGCTAGTGTATCTTTTATGAGAAACTCTTTCAAAAAACCCCCCACATTAACCCATCTGATGACAGCAGGACAGACTTGCAACAGTTTTCCATCAGCAGTGTCCGATGCACACCTTGTGACTTTGTATGCAGCTTTTCCCTTATATGCACACAGTGACGCATCAACATTCACAGTGAACTACAAATATTATTATAAAATCACCAATATAATCTCTGACCTTGCTGTAAGTTGTTGCTCTGAAGCTCATTCCATTTATTTTAGTA